CTTACTGAGACAAGATTCCTGCTGAGCCTTCAGCTGTCTGAATCAGCTAAGGTGACTGGCCAGCAAACCCAGGGATCGTCTTGTCTCTGCCTCCCAAGCATGGAGCTTGAAGATGTGCATGGGTGCTGGAGATTGAACTCAGGTCCTCAAGCTAACATGGCAAGCACTTTCCCCACTGAGCCATTTTCCCAGCTTGAAGTTACATTTTTTTTAAATAGGGATCCACCTGCAAAGAATGTTTAGATTTGGTGTGGCCAAGCGACATGAAAGAACCCAAGACTTTAGGATGCAACCCACATCCTTATCCTGGCTCTCCTGCTCAATCCCAGTTTGACACTGAATTCCTCATTTACGCCCCTCTCGCCCATGCTCCCCCTCATCGGGGCTGTTAATGTCAGCTGTTTTGTTGCTGTTGTTGAAAGATCATTATCTTTCATGGGTTTTCCAAGTGTTTTGTGTGTAGGCCCTCAGGACATCTCTCTTGGCTCTCCCATCCTTGCTGCGTCATTTCTATGACCACCATGTAGAAGCCCGACACAGAGGGACATCATCAAGTTCAGAGCTGTTTGGGGGAGGAGATTCCTCACTCAGCACTCTCTGCACGTTGGTAACCAGCGCTTTCCCGGGGATCAAGGTAAGAAGTAAACAGGGAGAATTGCTGCTACGCAGACTGACAACAGACTATGCGGACTGACAGACATGCCTCTTATCTCACAGCCTGGTGCAGCTGACATGGAGTGATGGGTTCCCAGGATGAGACCCTTTCCCTGGCAGACCCTCTCCGGTGCCTATGATTGCCTCAACCCATACACAGACCCTGCTGAGATCCATGCACACCATCTGGACACAAGGCCTCATTTCTGAGGCGGCAACTGTTATTGGTTGTACAGACTCCCAGGGGAGCATACTCTCTGTAGAGAGGCCTCAAAGGCCAGCTCCATGGTGGTCCTGACAGGTGGTCCTGCTCTGACGTCCCTGCGGAGTTGGATGAGGGTAGAGTCCCATCTGCCATGCATTGTGATAAGAAAAGAAGACACATGCAGAATATTCTTCACACCCATCTGGATAAACAGTATGCCTGAGAGAATCTGGTCTGTGTCCTCACCAGGAAGCTAGCCATCACACTGAAACTGACCACTCAACCCTAGGAGACACTTGCTACTATCCCCAGAATACCTATATCTAAGGGAAAGTGACCATTTTCTCCCCTCTTAAAGGCATTTATTTTTGTTTTTGTAATTTTCTGCATTCACTTTTACTATTTCAATGAAATATTATTTCTATTTCTATTTCAATGAAATTTATATTTCAACGAAATAGTTTATATGATCTATTACCACAATTAGTAATATCGATGTATGCTTTATAGTATTATAAGCATATATATATACACATATGCATGGTATATAGGGATGTATGTACATTATATAAGTAAGTATATAACTGTACATATTTAGGTATGTGCATGTTTTTTCTTTAAAATATTAAATATATTAACTGCTTTATAGCTTGCATTTTTCACTTAATTACATACTATGAGAATATCATTAAGTATTTGTCCACCATCTGGTATTTAATTACTTCATCCCAGCATTTACTTAATTAACCACTTGCAGAACATTCCAGTTCTTTCTAGTTTTCTGTTCAATTGACTACAGTAACAGGTACATCTTTGTCCCCATTTCTGGTCATTTCCTTAGAAAACTGCCATAAATGGAGCTAATTTTAGAAAAACCTAGCACTGATGGTTTTAGTTTTGAGCCTAATTATCTTCCACAAATGCCGGACCTGTCTATATACTGCATATACTTGTGTGTATGTGTGTGTGTCCTGTTGTTTCTGTTTCTCTGTGCTTACCATGTTCAACAGCTTCCAATCACAATGTTGCACGCATGCCTGGAACTTCACTGGTCAACACAGGCCTTTGGCAGAAGCCCAGTATTTAAGCCCTCCTTCCTAATATTCCCTAAAATATGGAGGAGGGAGCCAATATCCAAGGAGCCTTCCTTGCAGGGGTAGTTATTGTATCTATCCACTCACTGCGTTAAGTTTAAAGCCTCCCCGGGTAGAGATAGATTAGCGGAAAGCTGAGGACCCCTGCTCGAGCTGTGCCCCCCGTTCCCTTCCCCCTCCTAAGCCTGCTTCCACACAGAGTGTTATTATGATGGGAAGCGGACCCACAGAAGCCACTTGTGTACCCTCAATAGGACTGTGGTGAGGGACGCTGTTCATTACATCACACAGGCTCAGCTTTATGAGGGCCCCCGGGAGCTATTTCTGTCTGGCCTCTGTGTGAACAACAGTTAGAATTTTCCTGAGCAATTGGTTTGTGTTTATCTCGCAGACATTGTAAACTGTATGTCTGACAAGCTTTCTTTATCCCACTGGTGCCTGTGGTGCTCGGGCGTCCCACTCGCGACCCGAGAGCCAGCAGCGCGAATGTGCAAATACAGTCATAGCCTAAGAAGTAGCTCTCTTGTGTTCTTCCTGCCTCGTGGTGCCTTGCTTTTAGTTTACAGGATCTTGTCTTGCTCTGTACCCTATTGGAAGCCACCTGAAAAATGCTGAAGAGTCGATAAATAAATAAGATGTGTAAGAGCTCCACGATGTGTATGTCTGTCTGTTTTCTTCGACACTTCTGCTGTGCTCTGCGTTAATATCTTCTGTTTACAGACCTGAGGCTTCGTGCACACAAGTCAGAACTGCAGCGATACTGACCTTACAATAATTGGAATACCCAAATAAAGTTTCTCAAGATACCGTGATTGCCCTTCCCTCATTCTCATAACCCAGTGGAATCAATGCCATTGAAATGACAGTGCTTCTCCGGAGCAAAATGTGCGTTAACTCTAATTATGATGGAAAAAGTCAATAGCGCTACTTCATATGGAGTGACGCAGAAGGACAGAAGCGTCAAGGGGAAATTGTTAGTGCCTAAGATGGGCTTTGTTGCCCAGGGAGTTTTCAACTGTAGGAAAAAAAGGTTCAAATGTAAGAAGAGAGGCAACAGTATAAACTGCCATTAAAATGTATAGAATCCGCCTGGGCCGATGAGCACAAGAAGAATCGTTGAACATCCTTGGTCACTGGGGAGACAAACTTTTGAATACACTGAGGTACAAAGGAACACCTACTTGAATTGAAAAGACCAACTACGGTGGGTGTTGGTGAGGATGGGACACAAGAGCTCTTGCCTAGACTGCTGGGCAATGCCATGTTTGGAAATAGCTCCTGGTTCTTCGGAAAGTAAACCCACATCTACAGAAGACCCGGTCATTTCACTACTAGACATTTACCAAAGAGCAATGAAAGAATAACACATCCATATACATACATACATACATAATACACACACATAGCATATTAATGTTTGTAGCAGATTCTTCTTAGCTAATAACAGTGGGATCAGGGGCAGTCTCTGACTCTGTTGCCTGCTTTTGATACCCTGTTGTCCTACTGCATTACTGCAGCCTTAATAAGAGAGTGGTTGCCTAGCCTCACTGCGATTTGATATATCTGCTGGGAGCCTTGCTCTTAACAGGTCCGCCTCTTGTGTCCATGTGCATTCACCAGGCTAGCTGGCTCATAAGCCTTCAGGGATGCTCCTGTCTCCACCTTTCGTCTCACCACAGGCACACTGGGATTAGATACCATGCTACCACATAGGAATTTTCATGCATTCTGGGAATCTGTACTCCAGTCCTCACACACAGCACGGCCTCATGCACTGACCCATTCCCCCAAACCCGACATTGATACAAAATTGTAGAACACGTAAACTAATACATAGTTTGAGAAAACACCATTGGTTCTTTATCCCGCACTGGAGCAGGGAGAGATTAAAAATGGAGACAAGGACACCTTGGAAGGTGACACCAATGTTCACTAACTCAATTATGAAACAATTCCCACACAAATACATTAAATTTGTCAAGCTGTATGCCTTAAATATTACCTCTCGATTATCTTCAGTAAAGTTCTTTGAAAAAATTTTATATTAAATGGAAGTTGGGTATGGTGGCTCACACCTGTAATCCTAGCACTTGAAGGGCTGAGTAAGAAAGATAAAAAGTTTTGGGCCAGCCTCAGTTATATAGCAAGACATTGCAAAAAAGAAGTGTTTGTGTGTGTGTGTGTGTGTGTGTGCAGAGAGAGAGAGAGAGAGAAAGAGAGAGAGAGAGAGAGAGAGAGAGNAGAGAGAGAGAGAGAGAGAGAGAGAGAGAGAGAGAGAGAGAGAGAGAGAGAGAGAGAGAGAGAGAGGGAGAGAGAGAGAGAGAGAGAGAGAGGATAAAGATGTCCTCACGGATACTGCAGGGAGAAGCTTAGCTCTGCTCTACCTTCTGTGCTCCCTCGGACCTTTGTACTTGTGTTCACAGTGACAGGAGCATGACAGTGACATCACCATGCATGCTCTCATTCTCGGTCCCATCCTCTGGCTTTGTACTCTACCCCGAGAAGCTCTCTCATCTAGCTAGGGAAGCAGGACCGATGAGCAGAAAGGAAAGACAAGTGGACCCACGCTTAAAGCACTGTCCTGATGGACTCTACTCGGTGATGGGCTCATTTAGCCAGAGAAGAATCTGATCATCCCAGGAGCCTTTTCTAAGAAAAGAGTAACTGTTTCATGAAGATATCCAAGTACCTTTTTGTTAAGGACGTCACAAACCCAAACCCTAAAATATTCAGTTCATCTTAGCCTTTGTAAGTGTAGCTTTAATAACAAACTTTATCAGAGAGTACTTTGTGGTAGTTGTAGGGGGGTCATATTCACAAATTCTAGACCTGGAATTTTGACATTGTCATCAGCTTCTCCATCTATAAAATGTCAATCTAGTGGAACAGTAGATAAGTTTTCACAAAAGCACAGGTGGAGAGCAATATCCAAGGAGCAGGAATCTTTTAAAACGATAACCCTCCCTCACCCCACCCCTCTTTGAAGAATATACGTTCTTCCTTGCAAAGGGAGGGAACATGTGAACAAGATTCTCTCTCAATCTTACCTGAAGCCAAAGCTTGTCGTGCTGAGACCACTTCCCACCAGCAATGCACTGAAACGTGGCGTTCTGCCCAACGTTCACCTCAACGTTCTGGAGTCGCAGGAAATGAGGTGCTTTTCCTAAGAGAGAAAACCAAAAAACACATGAGGACAGGATGCAGCTTCCCACACCACTTCTCCATCAGGGACAGCAGTCCAGGATAGGCATGTGCCTGAGAAGATGCTAGGCTCAGAAAAGAGTTGATGGACCACTGCAGAGTGAGGCCTATACTGTGAATTCCATATATTGTCTCATTTAAGCCTCATGATCTATGGAGTAGACAGGAGAGCATCTTCAGTTCAAAGATCACAAAACTGAGACTCTAAGCATTGCATGGTTTGGCACAGTTGGGCATCCAGAAAACAGGGTGCCAAGATGTGAATCCTATCCTAGGAGACCCTCAAAGTTCCTATGACAACTTGGTCCACACATCTCTAAAATGGTCCAAAGTGAATGTTGTCCCTGGCAGTGACAGTAGGTTAAAGGCAGAATCATAGAACCCAAAGCTCCTCCCTTGATTCTGGTGAAGATGCTAATGATGGCAATGGATAAGGACAAAGAATATAGTAGGAAGAAATTAGAAAGAAAGTATAAGAGCTTTCGTTTACTGCATATTTCCATGGGATAGGTACCATGCTCAGCATCCAGAATTTACTCGATACAGCGCAACTGCCCCTATGAATTCCAGAAACCCACCCATGTTCACAAAGGTGCATAGTTTACATTCTCAGCTTTACGCTGTGGCATCTCTTAAGCATGGGTCGGATGTAGAACGCAGCTTCTGGGGATTGAGCACAACATGATTTTCAAACAAAACCAGCATGTGGATCATCAGCCCTGGGATCTGCCTGGGTTTCATGTTAGATAGTGTGTGTTCATCTCTTTCCTTGTTTGTGGGGTCAAGTGTTCCTCTATACAAGTTCCCAACAAAACAGCAATATCTGGTTTCCATTAGCTGATCACTAATGACAAGAGGAATGAGCTTTGCCATTAAATCCATTGAAGATTCTCTACGGCCATCAATAAAATTAGTAATAAGCTGGGCTCAGACTCCTTTTCCCAGGTAGGGTTAAACGGAGGGGCCGTATAATACCAAAGACATCAAGAAAAATAGGAAAAATAATACTTACTAAACACTTAGTGCTAAGTAGGAGTCTTAGTTGAGGTTTCTGTTGCCTTGGTAAAATACTACGAACAGCTTGGGGAGGGGAGGGCTTAATTAATCTCACAGCTTGCAGTTCATCATCCGAGAAAGTCAGGACAGGAACTCGGGATAGACACATGGTGGTAAAAATACAGCAGTGAGCATGGAGGAAGACTGCCTACTGGATTGCTCTCCGTGGCTTGCTCAGCCTGTTTTCTTACACCATCCAGGGCCACCTCCCTAGGAGTGGCACCACCAGTAATGGGCTAGGCCTTTCTACATCAATAATGAATCAGGAAAACTCTCCTACCATTCCCCACAGGTCATTCCAGAGGCCGATCTGGTGGGAGCATTTTCTCAACTGAGATTCCTTCTTTTTAAAATGACTGTATCTTGTCTCAAGTTGACATCAAAACAGCCAGCAAAACACTTTGCATGTTTTATCTATTCTAATTTCATGGTATCCCTGTGAAGCAGATGGTGAAGAGTAGGAATTAGCATCAGCAAGCTGGAGATTGTTGTGACAGCTAACTGTAATTGTCAACTTGACATAACTCAGAATCACCTGGAAAGAGGACCTCAAAGAGGAAGGACGCCCTACATTGGGTTCATCTCTAGCTACGTCTATGGGGATTATCATTTTCTAAAGTAATATTTTCGTTAATTTTATGTTAATTTCCTACAACATACTTTGATCATATTCACCACCAACTCCTCCATGCTCTTCACTCTGCCCTGCGTCTGCCGCCCCGACCCTCTCTATATTAAGTGCAGTTGAATTTGCCCATCTTTGTGGAATAAAGTCTTCCCTAGAATGTACTACACCTACATGGTCACAGCATTAAACAAAACTGGCCCTCCCTCTTCCCACATCTACTAAATGCTAACAGTTCCTAAGCTAGTGGTAGGATTTCATACCACCCCCTGTCTTTATTCTAGTATTTTATTTGACTGAGCTCACACAGATCTTGGGCCTGCTGCTGCTATTAGTAAGAATTCCTAAGTGAAACGGCCCTGCTGTGTCTAGGAAACATCATTTCCTTGATGTTCTCCATGGTCTCTGGCTCTTACATTCTTTTCATCCCCTCTTCCACAATGATGCCTGAGCCTGTGGGAAGAGTGTGATGGTATGTATGTTCCATTTAGGGCGGGGCACCCCAGCATCTCTTATTTTCCGTACATTGGCCAGTTGAGAGTCTTTGTGGTCATTGCTGTCTGCTGCAAGGAGAAGCTTCTCTGATGGTGTTTGAGATGCACTGGTCTATAGCAATAAGTCAGTAATACTATATGTTCATTTAGTGTTCATTTAGCAGAATAGTGCAATGAGGTCATCCTCTAAATCCCATGACCTATCTAGTCACCATTTCTTGTCCCTATTAATGGTGTCAGGCATGGGTTCCATCAGAAGGTGATTGGGTGCTCTCATGACAATCGCACCAACAGGCATATCTTCTCATGTCACTTGCTGTTATAGCATTCAGGGTCTGAAGCTGTGCAAAACTGGTAACTACTTTTAAATTTTTTTTCTGTTTTTATTACTTTGTTTTGTTTTAATTAATTTTTCCTCCTGTGTCCACATAGCACTTTCCAGCACTGTATAAGCTAGTCAGTAGAGATAAAGCTTCTAGGTCAATACCAGCTTCATTTTGAAGTATGTAGAATCTTAAAAGATATAATCCTATCACTAAGTTCTGGAGGGTAAACAACAATATTGACAACAGCCTATAATGCTTAGTCGGGTCTATGGGACCCTATTGGCCAACAACTCAAAAAGAGGTAGCCCTTTTCTGTTATTGGGAATTTTATTTACTAACATGTGGTCTCTAGCTGGGGCATTATACTCCTCTTGCAGGGCAACTCTTAAAATTATTTTATTTTATGCTTCAGTACATATTTCAGAAAGCTCCTATAGTAGTAGGTTTCCACAGGACTTTCTCAAAAGGCCTTCACTGTTAAGTTTTCCCTCCCCATATTCTCTCCTTTATATTGTCCTGTTGTAGAATAATGTTTTGTACTCTTTAAAGATGTGTCTTTACCAAGGCACCTTCTGATTGGTTTAATAAAAAAGTTAATGACCAATAGCTAGGCAGGAGATATGGGTGGGACTTCCAGGCACAGAGAGGACTCTGGGAAGAAGAGAGGCAGAGAAGCACACAAGACGCTGAACGAGTTGGACAGACAGAACAGGAAGATAGAGATAAAAGGCACATGGTAGAACGTAGATTAATTTTTAAAAATATGGGCTAAGTTATAAGATACTACACTGTCCTCCCATGCACCACCCAAATTTAACCCTTCTGGTTCCATTACTCCTTTTTAATCATCCACAGTACAGCGGCCTATCTCTCCTCCCTTGAAAGCTCCCTTACTCCCCTGGCTCCTTACTAATTTCCTAATCTCTGTGGGTATTCCAAACAAAACACACTCATAATCTGACTCAAAGGAAGTATCTACAAAGGAGAGAAAATATGTGATGTTTGTCTTTCTGGAACTGGATTATCTCACTCAGAATCATTGTTTCCAGCCTGATCCATTTATCCAAGAATTTCATAATTTCATTTTTAACAGCTTAATGTTTCACAAGTTCATTTTTCTCAAAGGTTTAATATCCCATTGTGCAAAATTGCCACATGTTCAGTATCCATTTATCAGTTGATGGATATGTAAGGCCCTTTCCATTTACTAGTTATTGTAAATAGGGCAGCAATGAGCATGAAGGAGCAACTCCCTCTATCCTCTATGCTGACATACAGATTCCTTTGGATATATTCTCAAGAGTGGTGTAGCTGGATCCTGTGGTAGATCTATTTCCATCTTCCGAGTTTGGATTTTCCTCCACAATGCTTTTCATAGTGGTTGTCCCAGTTTGCATTCCCATCAGCGGAAAATAAGTGTTCCCCTTTCTGGTAGGGGAATTAAGCTAATTGATATTGGAAGATAGAGCATAGCTTGGGTAGGGTGCCATTTCCTAGGCAGGGGACCCTAAATTTTGTCACTGGAGAAGTTGAGCTGAGAATAAATAAGTAAGCAAGCAAGAATGTGTGCATGCGTTTCCTTCTATTCTTGACTGTGAATGTATCTTCTTCAAGCTCCTCTTGCTTTGTGTTCCTGACTATGATAGAGTGTAACCTAGTATTTTAAGCCAAATAAATTCTTTTCTCCTAAGTTGTTTTTTTTTTTTAATCAGGTATTTTATCGTACAACAGAGATGAAACTAGAACAGTTACCAAAGTGACAGAGCTTCACAGAGAGAAACAAAGAATTCAGCCTAGTCCCATCTGAGCCCCAAACTCCATTCTGAACTAGTCACTCTCTTGCCTTCTTGCCCTTGAAACGGAAGACGGTGTCATTGGACAGGCCTCAGAGTGCAGAGGAAGGGCCTTCAGGGTGGACTGTAATGACTTTCCTGGCTTGTCGTTTGGCTCCCAAATATTTTACAAGGGACCCCTGTCCATGCTCCATTTCCCCTGTGGATGTTTTGACCTGTCTTGTCTACCGAACTGTGCCACTACCTGTAAGACTCTCCCCAAAGCCAGGGACTTCAGTGTGATTTCTCACTTGCTGGGAGAAAGTATGTACCATCTGCTCTGGTCTTTAAACCAGCTGACAACAGTTCAGATACCCCCCACGACACTGTCACAGCCCTGTGGCTAAAGTGTCATGGGTGCAAGACCCAGATGACACCGCTTCTGCAGGCCGTCTCCATCTACCAATGTGACAAGTGTCATGCTGCTCTGGTCGCTTCCAATTGTTCTCCTTTGGCTCTCCTGAATAATTCTGGGAAGCGGGTTTGGAGCTCTCAGTGCTTCAGCTAGGAATGGTGAAATTACCTGGGCGCGAGTGAGAAGGAGACACGGAACGCCAACAAATCCGCTTAGGAGTTTGAGTGCTGACAGGCCTGGAGATCCAGGTACAGCTTTTAAAGGCTGCCCCACA